CTGGTGCCAGCTGGCACTAGGTGTAGAAACTTAAAATTCTCCAGAGGAGATCCTATCTGGAGGGACGGGCATCTGGGTGTCTCCCATTGGGGGCAGAGAAGTCAACGACCTTCCAGAGGCATCCTAGTGGGAAGGTGTGACTCCGAGCGAGAAGGGTGCTACCTGGTCCAATATCTCATCAGCTTTTGGCCAGGGACCGGGGTGCGGATGCCCAGCAGGGCACAGCCAGGGCATGGATGGTTCACCTAGCGCTAGGCCTTCACATGAGCGAGCGAGCAAGGGGGAGAAGGAGCCGTGTGCGAGTGGGGCCCTAAAATGGAGGTCAGCATAGAGGGTCAACCCTAGACAGTTAAGGCTATGGCTGGGGGGGGGTCCCCTCCATTTCAAAAGATAGTATGAAGTTGCCGGAGCTCTGCGGTCAAGCTTCCCTGACCAAAAAAGGCGTTTATGCTGAGAAAATGGAGTGAACTCACCAATCTAGTGGCTGGTCAATAAGGAGAACTCACCAATTCAGCCAGTGTTGCATGCAGTAAATAGCAGTCTGGTAGCCAGGAAAGGAAGTCCCAAAACCAGGAAAAGGGGAGGAGTCCCACCTTTTGAGATCGACAATTAGTGCAGTACTTATCTGGAGTCCAATTGACCTGAGAGGCGGATTTAGGTGGACTTTCTGCAGCTTACAAGAATTACTTTTAAGTTTTAAGAAGGGGATAAAACTTTAGACATGTTAGTATCACAATTGTACTCTGCATTGTAGAAAAAGGCAGTAGGCATACATATTTGTGTTAATCGCATAAGTATTTTTTAAGGTGAGCTCTGAAAAGGCAAAAGCCTTTTATGAAGTAAAAGGGAAACTCACTTGATCTTAATTTTTAGTATAAGCACACATATTATGGAGGCTTACAATCTTGAGCTTAGAACCATAATAGTACATGGTATAGTGGAATGTTTTTTTTATAAGAGTCAGATTAATAAATTAGAGCCCTATTGATAAGGGTCAAAACACTGGACAGTCAATACAACAGTAGCATAACAACAGGAGGAAATATTAAGCCTTTTAACTACTCTGGTAGTCAATGCAACAGTAGCATAACAACAGGAGGACATATTAAGCCTTTTTACCTATTTAAGATACCTTAAATCACCTTAGACCTTGTAACCTTTATAACTTGCATTTACCAACTTTAGAACATTTTTTAGACCCTCAAACATTTATAAGTTGCATTACCAAACTTAATATACATTTTTAGACTCTTAAACATATATAACTTGTATTTACCAACCTTAAGACACTTTTTAAGACTCTCAAATATGTATAACTTGTATTTATTAACCTTAAGACAACTTGAGAGGGACCTTTGTATTTAGTTATTTACCATGAGACATAGTTGAAACTGCTATGAACATTCATTGTCCTTTAGCTAACGGGATGGTGAAAGGTTTCATTTAGGCCTGTTTCTTGAGTCTGTTCTGTGTCTAGGCCTAAAAATAGCAGCTCTAGGATTTAGGCTTAAGGCCTGGTCTCCTGCATATAAAGAGAACTGGGAATGCACTCTGTCTAGGCCTGAAAATAGCAGCTCTAGGACTTAGGCTTAGGGCCTGGTCTCCTGCATATGAAGAGAACTGGGAAGGCACCTGAAGTCTCCCAACACAGAAGTTGGCAATATGTCCATGGGACCTCATTCTGAGGTCAAAAACAGACCTGTTGGAGAGCTGTGGAGGTTGCAAAGTCAAGGAGCCATTCGTCCTCCACCAGGCCAATGAGTTAGAAGGCTGGAAGTGTCTGTGGCTCTTGTGCTGGTTGAACCTCCATGGCTGGGCGCAGAGGACAAGCCTGCTTGGGAGCATTTTGACTTCCAGAGGCCAGTCTGCCAGCAGCCAGCTGTGGCATGTTGCATCAGCAGGGGGACCAGCATCCACTTGGCTGCGTTTGAAAATGTCACCTGGAAGAACAGACTTTTGGCTATGCAAACCTCTTGCCTTTTTGCGGGAACACCAACAGCTTCAGAGCGCAGCTAGGGTCTGGTGCCAGTCGGGATGGCTCTTACTATTTTTACCAACTCTTATATGGTGATTCAAGGACCATCCTCAACAGAGAAAATTGGTTGAAACTGTCCCATTAGATTACAGGAGTCCGAAATGGACCATAGCAAAGCTAGGGGAGCCCTTCTCAAGTCACGGCACCAATATAATGTTATTAAAAAAGCATGAGGCTGGTCAACCGATATTCTCTGCAAGAGGTTTATTAAGTGAGTATGGAGGGAGGGGGGAGCAGGAAATGAAGAGAGAGAGAGAAAAGGGAAGGGGCACCCTGAGAAAAAGAGAGAGAGAGAGTAAGTAAGAGTAAGAGAGTGTAAGAGTGAGAGAGAGCAAGAGGAGAGTAAGAGAGAGACCACGGTAACCACGCCTTCCAGGTGTGGCCACCTGGCTGGCAACACATGATGACATCATAGGTTGCTGGGTAACCCAGGAGCAGGTTGTGTTCCAAAATATTAACAGAATCAACAAGTACATATGAAACATTGTAACCTGTGAATTGCAATTAGCATAGTCCGGGCATGAAACTGTATAGCACTAACGGTTGGTCTGTTTGTGGTGGGAGTTATTTTATGTACTTTGCGTAGTGCGGCTCTCGTGGCAACCCATGAAGACGATGTGCTGGCTACTTTTAGATCAACTTGACACAAACTAGAGTTGTTTTAAAAAAGGAATCTCAATTGAAAAAAATACTCCCATCAGGTTGGCCTGTAGGTGAGCCTGTGGTGTATATCCTTGATTAATGGTGGGTATGGGAGGGCTCAGCTCACTGTGGGCAGGGCCACCCCTGGGCTGGTAGCCCTGGGAGCTATAAGAGAGCAGTCTGAGCAAGCCATGGGGAGCAAGCCAGTGAGCAGCACCCCTCCACGGCTCTGCTCCAATTGCTGCTTCACGGTTCCTGCTCTGATTTCCTTTCATAGAGACTGTGTTTGGGGTGTGTAGGCTGAAATAAACCCTTTCCTCTCCAAGTTGCTTTGTTCTCAGTGTTTTATCACAGGAATGAGAACCCTGAGACCAACAGGCAGGCTGAATTGCAACATGGTTGGCTTTGGTCCTGAAGATGGTGAGGGTGGAACTTAACAGTCCCTGAGTTACAGCTGAAAACGGTTGCATTAAAATATTTCTAAATTTCAAAATTAATATGATGAGTGGCCTGTGTAAGGAGGGGGGGTGAGATATTTAAAAAAGCATAAGAAATAACAGACCAAGCTGGGTCTACTGGCACATACACCTTTAATCCCAGCAGAGGTGTGTGAATCTCTCTGAGTTTGAGGCCAGCCTGGTCTACAGAGAGAGAGTTAGTTCCAGGACAACCAAAGTTACAGAGAGAAACCCTGTCTCAAAAACAAAACAACAAAAACAAACAAACAACACCCCCAAAACTAAATAAGTTAACAGACTATAAATTTTAAAAAATTGAACTAGGTAATGCAGAAATTTTAAAATTAGATCTTTAAAATAAGATAGATAACCCCATGGCAAGACTGATCAACACATGGAGAAAGAATTGTTTAGGGGCGTGATGGGATATAACTAAAGATGCTGTAGAAATTATATGGTTAAAAAACTAGAATACACAACTTGATGCCAATACATTTTAGAAATGGATAAGTGCCTGGAAACGGAATTTATTAAAGCTGACTCAGAAACAGCAGTATGAAGAGTCTTTTGTGCCCTGGAGAGAAAATTTGAACTGGCTCTTCAGATGTTCTCACAGAGAGAACACCACACCAAACAGCTCAATAAAAGGATCATAGCCCGGTGCTGCAGAGAACAGAGCCTGAGCCAAAGGCTTGGGGGTAGGCGATTCATTTGGGAAAGTAAAGTGTTTTATATGGGGGCAGGAGGAACCAGGAAAAAAAATCAACAAGATGCAAATGGACACGGCTGAGCAGTCTGGGTAGAGCATTCCTGGGGACGCTAGAACAGACGTCTAGATGTTCAAACCCTTGAGCACCAGGCCTGAAAGCTGGGGCCTCAGAGTGAGAGGCAGATGTGGGAGCTGAGGAACATGCCGTCAGGTTACGGCTGTGCAGAGGTGCTTGACAGCTGCAATAAATGAGAGGAGAGGATGGGAGTTCAGCTCTGGTGGCACAGGAAGTGAAACACGCAGTAAACTACAGCGAATATCCTTCATTTTACCTTTAATTAAGAAAAGTCTTAACCAAAAAAAAACACACAAACAAAACAAACAAAAGATTCCAGAGGGAAGATAGACATAATTATTTAAGCAGGTGCATTCTATTTATTTTTATTGTTCTTTTATTCTTTTATTCTTTTTTTAAAGACAGTCTCACAAGGCTGGCCTTGAACTCACGGAGTTGAGTTTGCCTCTGCCTCTTGAGTCCTGAGATTACAGGTGGCAGCCACAGTTGCTTGGTATTTACCGAGGTCCTAGAGATCCAAACTCACACCCTGAGGCTTGCGCAAACGCTTAACCCTCTGAACAATCTCCCCATAGTGAGAGCCTATCTCAATTCCTAAGAAAGTCATAACCAGCACATCGTGCTTAGAACGTGCTAGAAGACCGCAGAAAGGCAGGATGCACTCTTGAATTCCAGGCATTATCTTCTCTTATACCGACTTTGATATATGACTTTGCCACAATAGTGAAACTATTTCTCAACTTCTCTAGACTCTGAGATGGTCCTCTCTCCAAACTCCTTACCTTCTTACATTCACTTCCATGACTTTGAATGAAACTGAGACCCCCAGGAAGTTAGCCAAACATCTCCCCACACAGTGGAAGACTTTTCCGTGCTCCGGAACACTCTGTAGCACCTTCTCACAATGGCTTGCAGTTCTCATGCCGCCTCTAGTCTTGAGGCTCTTGCTGATCCATGATTTCATTTCCCTTCACCAGGGCCCTGCCCACTCACTCACGCAAATAAAGACTAACTGTTAGCTGTGGAACAGTTGCTGAAAACTCTCACCGCGTATAAACTGAGGACATGACCACTCCATAGTATGGTTGAGGGGAAAGTTTTTATTGTCCATATGAGGGGGAGTACAGGCAGAGCCATCTGGAAGAGGCCAGAGAAAAGAGATAAAGCAGTGGACTGAACACAGCCAGCAGGCTGGACCTGGCCATGAGAGGGGAGAGAGAGAGAGGAGCCAGGAGAGCGCAGAGCTGAAGTAGCAAGGCTACAAAAAGAATGAGAATGTGGGGATGACTCGGGGAGGTGTGTGTGGCGGGGGGCGGGGGGAGATGTCAGCATGGACGCTGAAATGTGTAATGGGTATTGGTGATACTCAGGGATCCTGGAGGCCAGCGTGCGCTTTGGTATGCCGATAGCCACCGCCAACCGTCATTTGTCCTTCTGCCAGTGTTAGGTGGGAAACGGATTCTTTAGTCCTGACACACCCCTCTTGTACTTTTGGCCACATAGGAGGATCTTCATTTTATTGACCATTCTGTCACTCAATCACACTGATTTTCAAACTTTCTAGGAAGTAATAAAAAAAAAAAAAATCCAACAGTCAAGAGGCAGATGAGCAATAAAATACCTAAAACTTACAACAATAATCTACATGAATAACCTTTATAAATGCCGTTGGCTGGTGGGGCATACTTTATAATTCAAAATAAAAATCTGAGGCAGTAGGGAAGTACTCTCCCACCTGCTGAAGCCCCCAGTTCTCCGTTAGAGTCCGAATGATTGAACCACTGTAAGGATGCAAAATCCTCCCAAAGGAAGCCAATAATCTGAGAAGGGAAACAGGGTCCATGTTTTGTCATTGATCTATTTTGTAATTTTCTTTTAGGTGTAAGGGTATTTTTCCTGCTTATATGTCTGTGCACCACGTGCTTACTTGATGCACTCTTTTTAAAACTATTTTACTTAGGTTTCATCTTCTTCCCTTCTCCACTTAGTCCCTTCCAACACCCAACGCCAGGGAGGAGAGAAAGGTCAGAAGGGAAAGGGGAAGTAGTTCTCTTTGGTTACTTCTTGCTGGTTAGGGTCGTTGGGTTCCTTGGGGCAAGTCCAATCTTTGTTTCAGGATATCTTCACCAACCAGGAGCAGCAGGAGGCATCACCAGCGTTCTTCTGCTTCCTCAGAGCCCCTCTTTCTCTTTTAGCTCCGGCATTTATTCCTCTTTAGAGTCCTCAGACTTAAACATCTGCATCTGGGAAAGAGCCTCCAATCAGAGCCTGCACAAGGCAAAGAGTGGACTGCTGTAGACCATCTGAATCAGCCCCATACCTCACAGCTGAGATTAAAACAAGAACATGTCTATAAAACATAACTGAGTTTTTAAAGACACCAAAATGCCTACCACACTTACCTGGTATCCACAAAGGCCAGAAGAAGGTGTCAGATCCCCTGGAACTGGAGTTACCGAGAGGTGTGAGCTGCTTCACAGGTGCTGGGAATCTGAGGAAGGTCCTCCGGAAGAGCTGCCATTGCCCTGAGCCATCGAGCCATCCCTCCAGCCCCAGCGCTTGTGTTTCACTGTGTTCTGGTAACAGGGAACTCATGCATAGGTGTGAGTGTGCTACCACGGAGCTATAGCCTTTCTCTTCCTTTCACTTTTTTATTTTGACTCTGAATTCCAGGAAGTTGTTCGGGCTGTCCTTGAACTCACTAAGTAATCCAGGAAGATCTGGAACTTGGGATCCTCCTGCCCCAGCTTCTGAGTAGTTGAGGTTACAAGCGTGCACAACCAGGTCTGGCTAGAATAGTTTTACGATGGAAAAAAAAAAGTCCTATTATCAGTTAAGGTTTGGAGATGGCGAATAAAGTAAACATCTTGCATTAGGCAACAAAATCTTGAGTGAGTCTGCCCTTTTCTGCTTTTCAGATCTCACCTCTCTCTCTCTCTCTCTCTCTCTCTCTCTCTCTCTCCTCTCTCCTTGGCCATTCTGCATTTGCTAGTGTCTCAGGTGGGATCCCCTTCTAAGGTCCTCACATAGCTTTCTTCTCCTTGTCACCCAGGTTTAATATCAAATGTCTTATTCCAGAGAGGGACTTTCCAGTCCACGCCATCGGAAGTGTGTTCCCACCACATTATTCTTTTTTCTAATATTTCTTTTTATTTTGTGTGTTTGGGTGTTCCGCCTGCAGGTGTGTCTGCGCCATGTGTCTTGCCCTCGAATGTCAGAAGAGGACATCAGATCCCTGGAACTGAAGTTACAGATGGTTATGATCCATCATGTGGCTGCTGGGAATTGAACCCAGGTCCTCTGGAAGAGCATCCAGTGCTCTTAACCCTGGAGCCATCTCTCCAGTCCCACCACATCACATTTTATGCCAATCATTTTACTTGTGAATTGTCCTCTCTTCTAATTACAACTGAATACCAGATATCTATCCTACGCATTGACATCTCTTTGGTACTTAGAATAATCCATACCACGTGGTAGGAGCTCAATAAACATGCCAGGGAGGTAAGCTGCCTTAAACAGAGGACCTTTAACGTGTGGACCTACAAAAACTCTTCAACTGAAAGAAACAGTATAGAGCGTTTCTCAAGCTTACTGGAAGTACTTCCTGAAGCATGCAGTGGGGAATTTCACAGTTCCCACACTAGCCTAGGCTGTACAGCTAAGTGACCCTTAGATGCTGTCTGGAAACCAGTGTAGTGAATGGCAGAGTCCCGAGCGTAAAGATGTGTGACATGGAAACAGTCCTAGGAGTGCACAGCAATAAGTAGATGGAGACCTATGCCCAAGGCTGTCCCTAAGTTACCCATACGATGTCTCTGAATCCACTCACTGAACTTACTCCCTTCTGTTGAGGCTTCCTTATAAACAGAAAAGTTATTGCCATCAAAATAAACACACATACACACACACACTCACACACTTACTGTATACAACTTCAGTAAATGCTCCAAAGTTCATCCTAACAGTTAAATTACAATGTAACTACGCAGAATGTTATTTTGTAACTAGCAAGGGTTCGTATGCCCAGACATTGTGGCAGTTCGCTATCTGAATGACTCAGTAATTGTCATCTTGTGCATCCATTAAGGGCCAAAGCTGAGGCAGGTTGGGAGGGTGCCAAGGAGGTTGTTTTGTTCACCTACTATCTTCCCAGGGGAAATTCGGGCAGGACTTTGGAAATATCTTCTGGAACTTTTGGACTTGTTTTCATCCAGGCAGGAGAAAGGTAAACTGGGAATGCAGAAGGGCATGGAAGGAGGGAGGAAGAGAGGGAGAGACTGTCTGGGGTAGTTAAAGTAACTAACTCATCTCCTTCTAGGATGAACTGCAAACAAGTTCAATAATTGACTTGAAAATAGTTTTGCTAAATGCTCTTAAACGGGCTTGATAGTTCAGAGGAAAGAGAAAGGATCTTCACAGAAATAAGGCCTCAGTTAAACTGTGTACTAGCTGCAGAACTATTGTGAGTGTGCTTAAAGCACAGGCACCATAAAAATTGTCTTCTGCAAGGAGATGCAAGGAAATGTCAACAAGTGAGAAAAGTTAGGGAAACTTCATTGGGGTGACAAATGTGTCCAAGAGGACTTTCACTTTATTCCCTAGCGAGGGGGCTGGGCTGGGAGGGAGGTGCTGAGCCATCAGGCTTGGAGCCACTTGCTTTCCTAGAGGCATATGGGTAAGCATGCCTTTCCTGCTGGGCTGAACCCACTCCTCAGCCAGCAGAATGAAAGCAAAAGATCCGAAACCTTGTGGAACACTCACATTTCCCAGAGAGGAAGAGACTGGGCTCCCCCTCCCCCTCCCCCTCCAGCCCTCTCACAGCCTGGAGCTGCAAGAGGTGTCACTGAGTCCTATCTAACGTGGGAGACACTCCCACACTTTCCAGAATCTAACCTTTCTGGTCTTACTTTCTGGCCTCTGCCCTGCGAGTGAGGGAGCAACTGCCTATCTTGCACTATTAAAGATGGATGCCCCTGACGGTCTCTTTCTGGGACTAGATCGTACAGTTTGCTAGGGACTGAAGGCATAGAACATGAGCTCTTGCTGAGTCTGAAAATGTTCCAACTGAACCTTGAAGAAAGAAAAGACAAGCAGATTGGGAAAGAGAAGAAGGAAGAGGAGTAGGAGGAGAATAAAAATGTATGAAAGCACTGAGGACTCTTAAGTACGGTTATAGAAATGTGATTCTTCAAACCAGGCTAAGGCTTTATAGTCAGGTCTGGGAAGCTAGATCAACCAGTGAGGTGCTCTCTGTGCAGCCATGATGACTTGAGGTAGGATCCCTAGAGCCCATGTAAGAAATTTAGGGCACCTGTACCCCCACCCCAGCCCTGGGGGGAGATGGTAGATCCTGGTGGCACATACAATAAGCTCTATCTCAGGGTCAGGGAGAGACCCTGCCCTCAAAAAAAAACAAAAAACAAAAAAAAACAAAACAAAACAAAACAAAAAAAAAAAAAACAAGGCAGAGGGCGATACTGGAAGACCCTGCATGTCAACCTCTGGCCTCTATATGTACACACACAGGCAAGCATAGCATGCCCACACCTACATGTGGAAACACACACACACACACACACACATTGAATTCTTCCTCCCTGCTCTGTTCCCCTTTTCCTCCCTTCCTCTGTCCTTCCCTCTCTTTCTTCCTTCCTTTTTTGTTTATTGAGTGCTTACAGCTGTAGAGCCAGGGGTAAGACAAGCTTACCCCCCAAGAGCTCATTAATACAACAAAACAAAATGCCTAATAGAGTGTCAGCAGAGTGTGAAGAGAGCAGTTACACCCCAGTGAGCTGACCGGAAGGCTTTACGGTGGTGGTAACAGCTGACCAAAGGACACAAGGCGTGCCAAGCAAGAGTTCAAGGTGGCTATCTCAGCCCTCACCCCGTGGTGCTGCCCTCATGATCATTATGGCAAAGGGGGCCATATCCTTTCATCCTCACACGAGCCTTTCCAAAGCAGAGCTTTTTACCTGGCTAGTGACAGAAGGGTAAGCCAGAGGGACCGGGAACAAGAGAAGAGCCCAATGTGCCATTTCTTGAGGGGGACATTTGGGAAGGAAGCTTATCTTAAGACCTGGGGAGAGAGCGCTGGCAGCCACCCAGCAAGGAAGCAGGGACTTCACCCGAATCCTGCCATCAGCTCAACTGAGCAGGAAGGCAGATTCTGTCCCCAAGCCTTCAGATAAGAGCCCACCTGGCTAACACATTGATTTTTTTTTTTGGGGGGGGGGTAGGGAAGCTGGTAAGAGCTTCACAAAGAACCCCGTGCAACTGCCAGGACTCCTGAACTCTGGACAGTAAGATAACACAGGGTGTTGTTCTGTGCCGTCTGTGTGTAGTGCCTTGAACAGAAACCAAGGCAGGAGGGTTCTCTGCTCAGCAGAAGAGCACGAACCTGGTGATACGGAGAACTCAGAGACCTTGGGAACGGCCCTGGAGAGTGCGTGAGTGTGAAGGAATTGGCATAGAGAGCCTACAAATTTGAGGTTGAGGATGTCATCAACTGTCATACATTTCAAGGAATTTGGCCTTGATTCTTTTGTTTGGTCTCGAGACAGGGTCTCCTTCTAACACTCAGGCTGGCCTTCAACTTCAACTTACTCTAGTCAAGTTATTCTTTATTAGTCAGGTTAGTTGTTGTTGTTGTTATTATTATTATTATTATTATTATTATTATTTTGACCTTGAACTCACCTGTAGCCAAGGAAGAACTTGAACTCCTCACCCTCCAGCCTCCACCTCTCACCCATCAACAAAAATGTTCAGTGAGGACGCAGGGATAAAAGCAGAGGGTAACACCATCAAGTCCCTTGACCAACATGGCCTGAGGGGTGAGGGACGGGCAGGCAGCCAGCACACAGTGTATGCTCGAAGCCTGAAGAACACGGTTTTCATGCTTCTACCATCAGGGCTGCAGCTGCAGTAGTGGAGAGTGGCCGTGAACCAGGAGGAGTAAGATGTATGCTTGCTCTCTCTGCTTCTGCTCTCAGATCCCATTCTGGTGCCTTTTCTCCTAGACGCACTCAACCACCCAGCCAGCCCAAGGAGATCCAGCCCAGACAGGAAAGCCCCATTCAGCTCAAACAGGTCAGGGAAAGGTGGAGAGTAGACCTCATCGAGGCACAGCTGAGGTTCGGAACAACCAGTGTTCAAGAGGCACATTTCAATTTGCCATGAGGTAGCAAGACATGACCATGTGTGGACTCAACCAGGACCATGTTTAAGCCTGGAACCCTCACTATGGCTGTCCCTGTGCTGGAGAGCACCAAAGACAATCTGAATTGTTTGACAACAAAGCTCTCATACTCACTCCTCAGCTCAGGGACCCTCCTCGGGTCCTGACACCTCCTGAGCCAGGAGAAGGACTCGGAAAATAGACTTGGAGCTGTCGTATGTCATTGAGGACGTGTCTAGCCCAGAACATTAGGGGCTTCCCAGAGATGGTGGCACGAGTCTACGTACTCAGCACTCATGCCTTGAGTTGTGGGCGGCCCGGCCGATTTTGCCAGGCCTGTGAGGCTGGGTTTGGAGGGAGAGGGACAGGAAGGAGGCTGTGTAGGGGAAGGATGTGGTTGACTCTTTCTTTCAGAGCACAGTGTGTTATCTTTTGGGTCAAGAAAATTATAGGGGATTGATAAACTTACTAGAACAGCAAGAATCACACTGTTTGTATTTTTTCAGCTTTAAATAAGGACATTCTTCTCCCAAAATATCCTCCTTAGCCTTAAATAATTTCAGAGAAGCTCGGAGACCACCAGATTCTTAGAAGTGAATCCTGGCAAGAGCTGATGATTATTAGGACAGATGCAGTCCTTGAGTGACTCTGGTCCCAGCACATGAGAACATCTGTCTCTTCTCAGGTTCTAAGAGGGTTTACTTTTCACTGTAGCCCAAGCCCACAGCCGCCCCAGCCTTGAGGTCATTGGGATGAGAATTCCCCAGCTTGTGGAATCATATCAGCAGTTTGGAGCAAGAAGCCCAGACAAAGGCTGGGGAACACTTCTTTTGGCTGAAGGTCAGTCTTGCTTCCCTCCGGATGATTCTGTGTGGCCTGGCGCAGGACTTCAACCTCACACCAGTGGTAAGGATAGTCTTCCCAGAGACTCAACTTGTTTACTTTATACTGTGGCCTACACCCCCTCTTGACCTAGAGGAAACCCACTCACCCCAGAAAAGATTTGTCCCCAAAATTGCACAGTAAGGCTCTCTGGTCTCCACAGGAAGACCAGGCCAAGATGGGGTAAGAGATCAATGTGACCAGTGTAAGTATAGGGGGTAAGGGCCATGTTGAACTCAAAGCCCTGCAGACTCTGCTGTCTGCCTGAGCCCACAGGCTAGACGGACACAGACCCAAGCTGTACAGTCCCGTCATGAATCCCCAAGGGCAGCGAGGGATTGGGCCTTAAGTGCAGATGGAGCATCAGAGCCTCCCTAGTTTGATGTCCAGAGACACTCTAGGCTTGAGCTAGAGTTGTTTAGCATCACAGTCAGCAGAGAAACTGCAAATGAGTAACCGGAAGTTAGAGATGCCTGTGCCATGCCAGCACCTCCATCCTTGCCCTAGCCCCAGCTCCAGGTGCTCCTGGTCCCCAAGGCACCAGGTGCACAACAGTCAGCTCTCAGTTTCCTAAACTCGCTGGAGTGGGATCAGAGCTGCCTCCCACCCCACCCCGGGCGGTTGGGCGGGCACGCAATTACACAGCTCACCTGCCGCGGCGGTAATCAGTAATCGGCCCAATTACTCTAACTGCTGGTGCTGGCAGGAAGACACCACCCACACAGCGCTGCTGAGAGACTTTCTTCCACAGCTGTTTACCTACCGTGAGCGTCGCGAGAACTCTGTGCACTCTCGCTCCCGATGACTCCGCTCCCACCCGAGGAGACAGGACTGGGGAAAGTCAAAGAGGGCACGGAGCGCTTCAGCTCTGCGCGAGTCCAGTCTCAGTGCCCTTCTCAGTCAGGCAACGCGTGTGACACGGGTCAGAGCGGCCAGTGAAAGGCCGTAGATTGTGCTTTGCAGAGATGATCTGAGAGCCAGTGGCATAAATTCAGCATACGTCATCCATTGCTGAGAGAGGGAGGGGCAGCTCAGTATACCTGCGGCCTCGCTAGCCAGCGGGCAGTGACCGCCTGTAACCAGCATAGTCTCTCTGGGCTTGCCCTGGCTGTAGGGGGAGTTGAAATAGAGGCGGAAGTCACCTGAAGACGTCTTGATTGCTGTTTCAGATGAGCGGTCTACGGAGCCCACGCTCCGCATCAGCCCCCGAAGCACCCGGGAACCTGCGGTTTAGGAAGAGGAAAGGGTAGTTTGGGCGCCCCGCCGCTCACCCTGGCCTGGAGTACTGAAAGCTGGGACACTGGCCACAGGCCATTGGATAGACACACTGCTTCAGCACAGCAGCTTGGGTTATTGGTGTCGGCGGACATCATTTTTCAGATGGGGCTGTTCGGTTTCTGAGCATAGGTCACGGTTTCTGATAAACCAAGAAAATCTGGTCCCTTCTGCCGTGTCCCCCAGCCAGGAAAGGTTTCGAATGATGGGAGTGGTCTCTGCGCCCCAGGGTCTCTGATGAGTGTCGGCCAGCTCCGAAAGGGCTGGAAAGGTGAGATGGTTCCAGCAATATCACAAAGCCTCCTTCATTGCACCTGTCGGTGGCTGCCACCTCCAGGCTCCATGTGAACCTCCAGGCTTGTTCCGTTTGAACCTCCAGGCTCCGTTTGATGTTCATGTATTTTTTGGGTCCCTGAAATGCACCCGGTTCCTGATTATACTCCAAGAAGGCTCCCAGCAGCCAAGTCAGAAGGTCAAGAGCTGTAAGAACTGCCTGTTTGCAGAATCCTGGGGGCAGGGTCTAACCTCGACCTGTCAGGGCTTTGAGCTTCCACTTCTCCCAGATCATGACCACCCACATGCTTTCCAACACCCCACCACCACCACCACTGGGCCAGGAATTTCAGAAGTGGTTTTTCCTCCCCAGTGCAGCTGGTGAGGTCTAACCTGAGGCTGGATTGGGAGAAAGCATGAGATTCAAAGGCCTGCCATACATTATGAGTGCTTCTTTTTAAGTTTTCTTTTCTTTCTTCCTTTTCTCTATGTAACCCAGGCTGGCCTTGAATTTGCAATCTTTCAGTCCCAGTCTCCCCAGCGCTGGAAATAAAAATGTACATTACCACCTCTGGCCTAGGGATTCTTTTAAAATATCCCTCATCGATAGGTTTTGATGGGCAGCATAGGAATTTTGGGCACAAGTGTGTGTGTGTGTGTGTGTGTGTGTGTGTGTGTGCGTGTGCACACGCGCAGAGGACAATGCAGGTAGAAGGCAAAGAGGACCTGGCTTCAATGACGCCAGATGTCAAGGGGTCTCATTGTATTGATGATGGAGTTGAGTCAACCCCTGTGTATCCCTCCTACCTGCTGGTATGAGCCTAGTTGTTAGGGGCAGAGGTCCATGGGACAGATTCAAGGAGAATAGATGCAAATGACAGACTGGGTTCCTGTACCTGCAGTGGAGGATAAGGCAAGTTCCAAAGGCAGGTTCCATGTTCACTTTCCTGGGGATGGCAGCGCCATCCTCCATCCTTCTGCACCCCTCCTGCTTGAAACTCAGGGACATTAAGAAAGTAAATTTGGGATGTGAGGGCGATCTGGCTGTGACATCTGTCACACCACTGGTTGCCAGGGTTGATCTGGATGGCTGGGTGCTCAGCCATCCCCACCGCTCTGTGCTTCTCCCCCAAAGCTATGTGCTCAGGTAGGAGAGGCAGCCTTCCCTGGGAGGACTCATCTCCAGTCAAGGCTGTTGAGTAGTTGCGTTCTCTTGTTAGAGTCTGCAAGCAAGCTCTCAAGAAGGGGACGTATGTAAGGTGAAAGCCACTGAAGGGCAGGGCCTTCCAGGTTTGATTTATATAGTGTACTCCTCTACCTCTGACATACGGGTTCATTCAAAACATCCCTCGGCGATGGCATTTGATGGACAGCATAGGAATTGTGGGCACAGTGTGAGCATGTGTGGAGGGCATGAGTGTGCATGAGTGTGTACATCATAAACGCCTATCTATGCTTTTCCATGATTCCTACAACACAAGAACACTCACACTAAAACTATATGAAGAAAAATTTGGTGTGATCATTATATCAGACCACATCTACAGCAAAAAGATAAAGCAGCAGCAAATCTCACACAAGCACTATCGAGCTAAAAAGGATCATTTCTTAGGACGTTAGACCAGGGAGATAGTTAACACTAACCACGTCTAACAATGCATTTTGAGACATATGAGGCTGTGTTTGTCAACTAACAGAGAAACTGGGGAACACTCAATTAGAGCAGAATTTGTCTATTTTAGAAACATGAAACCAAGGAGTAAAATTTTAATTAGAGCATAAACCCTGTTAATGGAAATTATCATTAAGCACCGGTTTAGTGTTTGAAACTCTTCACTGCAAACTGCAGAAGACACATTCTCCTCAATAACACCCAAGGAAGTATGTGTAAAAGCAGTCATAGGCATGGAACAGCATGGAATGATGGTAATTCCAACACTCAGGAGGCTGAGGCCGGAGGGTGTGAGTGTGAGGCCAGCCGGAGCTGGTAGTTAGGTTTATGAAAGTTTGGTCTATATAACAAGACTCTGAATCACACACACACACACACACACACACACACACACACACACACACTCATACCACATACATTCACACCACACATACAGATGCATGCACACACATTATATATCCATACACACACGCACAATATATATAAATTTGCATATAAAATTGTAGCTATAGGTCTTGAGAGTTGGCCCAGTGGTTAAGTGCCTTTGCTCTATCCAGGAGCCCGGGTTTGAATCGCACAACCAACATGGGCGCTCACCTCTTTGGGCATCAGGCAGGCATGTGGTGCAAAACACTCATACACACAAAATAATAATATAATTAATTTAAGTAAATAAAAATAAAATAAAAGGTTAACAAATTACAGCTATAATTCAAATTATTTTAAAATGCATTTTAAAATGCGTTTAAATACTCACTTCTAAATAGGATGTAAACGCTAAAGGACATCGATGAATCACAAAAGATCTAATAATTGAGAAAGTCCAAAGCTGGTTTCTGGGATAAACTTTAAAAAGCAGCAAGGCCCATCTAGGAAGAAGCAGGAAGAAGGAGAGTGAGAGGCTCAACCAAGGGAGGCTGCCATCGAGGGAGGCACTCACTGAGTCAGGGAGGCTGCCATCGAGGGAGGCACTCACTGAGTCAGGGAGGACTGCCATCGAGGGAGGCATTCACTGAGTCAGGGAGGACTGCCATTGGGCACCAGCCAGCTCCATCTTGCTTACCCTTAGGGCTCCCAAGGCTGGAAGCCTGTCCCACGACAGATATTCAGTGGTTCATCTCACGGAGCAGGCAGTCCACAGCCCTGGGGCTGGAACACAAACTGTGCATGGCTGTTTGTTACTCGCGTTTGTAAAGGACCCAAACTTAAGAACAGTTAAAGATGATAATCAGAGCAAGTCAGAGTCCTCCTTACAGTAATATTTTTCTCTTTCACCTGATTGAGACTTGCTTGAATAAGAGAGAAAATGGAGGGGGTGGGCTATAGCTGCAGAGAGAGAGAGAGAGAGACAGAGAGACAGAGAGACAGAGAGAGAGCTCATGGCCCAGGATGTATGATATCTAAATGTGGAGTAAATCCACTTCCCCACAGTGTCCCTAGGAATGTCTGAGGGGGCTGGCGCTGGGCTCAGGTCCCTGTCAGTCACAGCAGGGGTTCCTGGCCCACCCACTGTGCTTGTTGATGCAGATTGCAGATAACAGTGGCTGTGCCCAGACTTCTGAGTGACCAAGAAAGGCAGATTCGCCTGATTTTCACTTCAGCCTACGAAAAATCAAAGGAGTTGGTCCCAGTCTTAACAAACACCCAGTCAGGCAGAGAGCAAGCCCGGAACTCAGCAGAGCTTGAAGGGTCAACTGAGATCAGAAACGACAAGGCATGGGGCTTCAGGACACATGCTGCCCTCTGGATCCAAGCAGGCCTCTGGAGTTGGGGCTCCCATCTTTGTTCACTAAGGTGAGATTACTCCTAGTGTGAGTTCACATGCATGGCTTGTATTTCTAAAATAAGGATTTGATGAGGGGGGTTCGCCAGGCTGAGGGCATTGGAGCATGAGGGCAGGAGGGAACTGGATGTCCTAGGACAAAAAAAAAAAAAAAAACAAAACAGAAAGAAAACCACTCAGCGCAGGGTTCCACCCCGCGCCAGCCCTGAGCCTGTGGTGAGCAGAAGGGAGAGTCCGAAGTTGGGAGAGGAAGGAATGTCTCCTGGTGTCCCAAGCACAGCTGGGAGCCATGTGGCACCTCTGGGCCAGGGCCAGGAGCACAGGCACTTAGGCAGACTAGCAATCAGAGGGAGGGTGGGGGGGTGGGAGAGAGACAGAGCATCTCTGGTTCTGCAAGTAACAGCTTCCGGGAAGCTGCTCCCACGAGCATCCCTAGAACAAATGCAGGAATGCAAGTGGCTATCACTCCATCAACCCCACCCTCCTGCCAGGTCAGCGGCCTTTGAAGCCTTTGAAACCCAGCAACCCCCAAACAACCCTAACAAACACATATGTGGCCCTCCACAGAGCCAGAGCTTTCAGACATGTTGTCTCCCACGAGCCTTATGACGGCCACTGGGAAGCGTGGATTTAAAACCGTTTCTGTTTTTGCCAAAGAATGAAGTGTGGCTCAGAAAAGATAAAACAGTGGCCAGACTGGGACTTGTAACTCCAGGCCCAGCATGCTTTGGTCTTTGCTTCACCAGGTGTGGTTCACAGAGCAGCAACACTGCCCCGTCCTGGGGGTTTGTGAGAAGGAAACAATCTTAGACCATGTGGACCAGAATCTGTATTTTAACAAGGGCCCAGCAGAGCTGTGTTTTATAGGCAGATTGAAGTTTGAGAAGCAGTATTTGCTCACATCAGGCCTCTGCTCACTGGCACCCAGTGATGTCCTTGGGTGGCATACCCAGGTATCCCGGCATGCTAGAGCTGGAAGGAGACTCCCAAGAGCACCTAGCCTACTCCATCATGGCCTAAA